TGATGCAGGATTCTTTCTGCTTTAGGGCCAGTGTGATAACGTCCCAAGTCTCCTACAAGTAGAGGAGTATGCAAAGGGATCTGGTAGCACCTTTGAGATAACTGAAATAAATTGGTAGGACGAGCTTTCTGAGGAAGTAGGCTCAAGTCTATGAAAGCTTGTGCTGCAATTTCTTTTGCACAGTTAGTCTAAAAGGTGTTACAAGATCCCTTTGCATACTGATATTCCAGACTTACAGGCGAAGTCTCTGAATTTCACCTTAAAGAGTATATGCAATCACACTCAGTGATATCCAGATAAAGCCAATTCAAGCACAATTTAATTGAAATGGGGAATGATAATGAAGAATAATCAAGTATTGATAATGATAACGGGGAAAAACACTGATGGAGAAAATAAGTGTGATGATGTATTTATTAGGCCAATTCAAATGAGTTCTGTGAGTCTTGTGCATTGTGTCACAAGCATAGATGGCACCAAAGCGGGAACAATTGCATTCCCACCCAACAAGATATTCATTCCACCATTGCTGAACTCCTATGGTTATCTGAAGGGAAGGCATTCTCCCAGGTAAATAAGGCTGTTGTTCTAAATAGGCTTATTTGAAAGTTAACTCCATAAAAATCAACAGGATTGGAATTCCAGCAATAAAGTGTGAAACAGACAATTGTTTTTCATTCAGAAAACCTCACAGCCATTTTGCCCCTTCTGTCCTCCCTGTGTGTTTGTGTGTGTTTGTGTTGGTGCTGCCAGTATCTTTACATTTTCTCCTCTTTCTTCTCCTTCTTTGCAAATCTAGAAAGATAACAAGCCAGTTAAAGGTTATCTTTAAGATATTAAAGGAGTCTGAATTCTTTGACAACTGTTAACATCACAGCAAATAACTAGGAAACTGCTGAACAAATAAAAGTAATGAACAGCTACATGAAGATATTTGTGTGGAGGAAATGACTGATGGAACCCATTGGACTGGCGATAATTCTAGTTGCTGATGGAATTTAGGCTCATGAACACAGACAACCATGGCTTATCTTTAGTTTATGGGAATGCAGGAGTGCCTAATGGCCCTAAACCTTTCCTCTGACTACAGATACTTTGATGTATTGTAGCATGATGAACAGCAGAATCAACTTGCTTCAGAGACAACAGATACCAAACCTTGAGCTAACTTGCAGTAGTTCCCTAGGAGTCATGCTTTATTGCAGATTCTGCAAAGAACTAGGCCTACAATCTTGCCATTCTGCCACAATGTTCCCAGATTTCAACCACTTGCCATGAACAGTTTTTCTTTTCTGTAATCAAAATAACAGGAGCAAAAATCCCAGATCCATCCCAAACAGAAACAAATCTATTGCTTTTTTTGGCATAAGGTATTTGTTTGTCCAAGGCAAAGTAACATATTGGGACAAATTGTCTTAAGCCATTTATCAGCAAATCGCAATGCAGCAAAGCAGAAATGAAGTGCTTTCTTTGTCAACAGGTTGATACTATTTGTATAAAAATTGAAACTGTTTCCATTAGTAAGACATTACAATTAACTGGAGTTTGCAAAACTTCAAAATACAAAAAGTTTACACTTTGTTTGGCGTTCCACCAGTGATTTACTCGGCTGTAAGTCCAACCTGCACCATTGTAACTCACTGTTTTGGCTATTGCATAGATTAGAATTCTATATTGACAATGTTGTTGTATGCCTTCAAGTCATTTCCAACCTAAGCAAACCTCTCATGGAGTTTTCTTGACAAGCTTTGTTCAGGGGGAGTTTGCATTCATCTCTCTCTGAGGCTGAGAGGGTGTAAATTGCCCAAGGTCGTCTAGTGGGTTTCTATGGCCAAGCAGGGATTCAAACCCTGGTCTGCAGAGTTATAGTCCAACACTCAAGCCACTACACCACAGGGACTTTCAAACCACATTATGACCATAGAACAACTATGGTCATAATGTGGTTCCTCCCAATGCAGCCCCCATCAACATGGCCACTTCCAGGTTTCCAGAGGATGAGGAAATCACTGACAATGTGTTCAGCTATTTCCCTTTAGCTGGATGTGCTGCAAAGATAGCATCTCCACGGATGTCCTGATGATCCCCAGAAGTCCCTGCAGATGCCTGTCACAGTGCATCCAGCTAAAGGAACAGCCTCTGATCCCTCCTCTTTTTGACAACCTGCAAATGGCCTTTTTAGGGGGCTGCATGACTCACAAGGTGGGTTTGGAGGGGGAACCATCAGGAGACATGGCTACAAAAACAAGTCTGCCTCTTGGTTCAGGATCTCAGCCTTCATTACTATAGGTCTTTGCAGACTGCCAGAAATAGTGCACATTAAATTGAGGCACTGCCCTGGCTCAGTGCTAGGGAATCATGGGAACTGTAATTTATTGTGGCACCAGAGCTCTCTGACAGAGAAGGCTCAATGTCACAGAAGAAAATACAATTCCCATGACTCCCTAGCACTGAGCCAGGGCAGTGCCTCAATTTAATGTGCACTATTTCTGGCAGTCTGCAAAAGCTCTAAAGTTTTACAATATGTTTTCTCGCTCTCAGTGTTGTAAAGACAAATTAAAACAGGTTAAAATAACATACATGATGTTTTAAATGATGTAAAACCATTATATAGAGTGCTGTGTAAAACTAACTAGGTCTCAAAAGTTTAGTGAACAACTCTTGTTTTCACGTGGCACTAGAATGACATCAGTGTTGTCACCAATTCCACAACTGTACTATACTCTGCAGTACATTGGAACTCTCATTGGGTTTCTGTAGGTGGTTTGAGAAAATTTAACTCTGCTTGAAACTTGCATAGCTTCCCAGTGATAAATATTTGCAGTGCTGTATCTCTCTTAGCAGCAGTGTGTGTTGTAGTTTGTAACTGTGTCATTGTTATGTTATGATTTATAACAATATGATATGAGTAACTATTAATATAAACAAGTTTGTAGCAAACTTTGCAGTGTGTTCACAGTGTGCTGTTTTCCCCAGATATGTGGTAACATACCTTCCAACATTTCACAGACGAAAACCGGGGCATGTGGCCAAACAACATCAGAGTGTGGTCACAATAGCAAAAGTTATTAATGAGAAAAAGTACACAGGCTAGGAGATGCTGCAGCAGTTTGCTTTTGCCTGAGCCTACAGGCATGCCTCTGATGAAGAAATTCCTTTTTCATAGTCTTTTTATGCCTACCCAGCTTCATTTTTTTTTCTCATCCTCTATCTGGCTGGTAGGTTTTTAGTAGCATCAGCATTAGGAGAGCTGGAGAAATACAGCTTTTCAGGATCATGGTTGCAGCAGCATGTCTACAGTAAACAATGAAATGAAGCTTAAATTAAGGTAGGAAAAGAAGAATTTGCCAATCCTACCGTAGCTGTGAGTGCCTGACTAGAAAAGGCAAGGTAAACAGCAGCTCCCTCCAAAATCTTTTACTGAGCATGCATGAAATGCAAAAAGGGGAGAACAGATGAGCCTGCCTTACCAACTCCCCCCAAATATATACATATATATATATATATATATATAGCATTGATCTAGAGGTTTCATTAGAGGTTGGGAATAACAAGCCACAAGTATAATGAATAGCACACACTCCTTGTTTGTCAATGACAAAGGTACAAAATGGATCCCATTCTGGGAGAAAAGTGGGATAGAACTCAAATAAATAATGCATTTCTAACCTAACACAAACAGAAAGAAGCTACTTTATCGGTGTAAATGAATAACGTAGTTACATTTTAAGATTTAATTTATGTAAAAGTAATTAAAAGGAATTTTAAAGAATTTTGACAGGAATTTTTTCATGCCATTCAACTAAAGTTAAAGCACTGAGCAATAAAAGATGAAGTCATTCTGACAAAATTGTCACAAAAAAATGGAGTTACTTTTTTCAAACACCACAACAAATGATGCCAATGAATGGCTTTTGAAAAGTAACTTTCCAAGCTGTGAGCCTAATAGTTTCCTTTTTTTGGTATGAGCCAGCCTATCTGGGTTTTAAGATATTCAGTGAAGGGCCCTTTCTTGCTTCCCTTCTTTTTAGGTCCAAAACATACTGCAGAAATAATCCAGTTTGAGACCGCTTTAACTGCCTTGGTTCAATGCTAGGGAATTCTGGGAACTGTAGTGTTTGCGAGACATTAAGCCAGGGGTAGGCAACCTTTCCTCTTTAAGGGCCGAGGGACTTCAGCTCCCAGAATCTCAGGAGCTATTGGCCAACATGGGACTATTGGCCAACATGGCTGAGGCTTCTGGGAGCTGAAGTCCCTCGGCCCTTAAAGGGGAAAGGTTGCCTACCCCTGCATTAAGCCTTCTCTGTCAGAGAGCTCTGGTGCCACAATAAACTACAGTTCCCAGGATCCCCTAGCATTGAGCCAGGGTAGTCTTCTACTACAGTGTGCTGTTTGGGATTAAAAACCCGAAGCCTGCCAAGCGCGCCCTCTGCCGGCCAGAGGCGGAGGCGACGGGACTGGGATGAGCCGAAGAGAGGCATAAAGGAAGGGGGCGGTTCTTATGGAGGCGGGGCTAATAAGGACGTGCTCGAGGAGGCGGCGGTGGCCCCGCCTTCCTCTTGAGTCAGTCCCAGAGAGCGCGCGCGGCGAGGGAGGCTAACAAAACAGGGAGGCTATAGAGTGCGCGCGTGCGCGCTAGCGCTAGCCGGGCGGGCGGGCGTTCTAATCAGCGCGCGCGCGCGCGCTCACTCACAGACACTGGCGCGAGGACAAAGTGAGCGAAGCCTGGGAGTCTGAACGTTCCAAAGCGAGTCTCAGTGCAGACTCTTTGCAAAAGCAGCAGCAGCAGCAGCAGCAGCAGCAAAAACAGTAGCAAGAAGAGGACTTTTCCTTTCCTTTTCTCTCGGAGGCGGTGGCCCATCTTCCAGCCCTTGTGGAAGCAAGGGCGGAGGAAAGGAGGCGAAAGACCACAGGGGGGGTGGTGGTGGTGGGTAGGTGGGTTGGAACCGAGAAAATGAACCGGAGTTTCAATAAATCTCCCAGTCTGCGGTATTTCGGATACAACGCGGTGGAAGTCAAAAGCAAGGTAAGGAAGGAAGGAAGGAAGGAAGGGGAAGCAGCTGGCTTTGCACCTTTGCACCGGTTTTCAATCTTTAAAGGTATCCCAAGAGATTGAGAATGAAAAAAAGAAATGAAGGGAGGAATCGTCATGGACACAGAGCCCTCCTCTTGCTTTTAGTTTGGGCTCCTCCAGTATCTTTCCCCCCCCCCCCATCCTTTCATTCCTTTTGCAAATGAATGGAGAGCCTCCCTTTTTTTCTCTCTCCCTTTCTCTCCTTCCCAAACTCCTCCTGGGTTTTGCTTTTCAGCTCTTAAAACCTGGGCTGCATCCACACGGCAGGTATAATGCGGGTTGATACCGCTTTAACCGGTGGGGCTCCATGCTCTGGAATTCTGGGAATGGTCGTTTGTTGGGGGTCCAGAGCGGAGCTCCGCTCCGCTCTGGACCCCCAACAAACGACCATTCCCAGAATTCCAGAGCATGGAGCCCCAGAGGCTAAAGCGGTATCAACCCGCATTACTGGATCAGCTCCCAAAGGATCGCATCGCTCGGCGAGCTTTTGTTCGAATCCCCCACCATCATCATCAAAAGATTTGGTTTTTCTTTCTTTGCACCTTTTTTTCCCTGGTGGATATTTGTAAAAGACTTCGATTAGGGAAGGCGGGAAAGAAAGAAAAAGAAAGAAAGAAAGAACATTCCTCCTCCGCTTCGTTCCCTCCATCGCTCTCTCCTCCTCATCCCTCCCCTGTCTGTCTGTCTTCTTTCTTTTCTCTTTTCTCCAGCGACTGTGTTCAACTCCTGACTAACTTATTTATTTTTTCTTTCCTTCCTTCCCTTCTCCAGCAGCAATGTTCAACTCTTGACTTTCTTTCCTTCTTTCTTTCTCTTTTCTAGAAACTATGTTCAACTCCTGACTTTCTATCTTTATCTTCTCCGGCAGCTATGGTCAACTCCTGACTTTCTTTCTTTCTTTCTTTCTTTCTTTCTTTCTTTCTTTCTTTCTTTCTTTCTCTTCTCTAGAAACCTTATTTCTCTTCTCTAGAAACTATGTTCAACTCCTGACCTTCTTTCTTTCTTTCCCTTTTCTGGTAGCTATGTTCAACTCCTGTCTTTCTTTCTCTCTCTCTTTCTCTTCTCCATCAGCAATGTTCAACTCCTGACTTTCTTTCTTTCTTTCTT